GTTTCAAACAGGAATTAACTAATCAACTAACCGAGCTGTGTTCGATTAAAGCACTAATTTAGATCGACTTACCATACAAAATAAAAGTCTTATTTTACTACTTAAATTCTGAATCGAGTTGAAACTGTAATGTAACTATACCCATTGTTGTGTAGGCTGTAAATTTGGTTGTGTGCATTGATAAAATGCAGTCATTGGATGAGTTTTGGTCAGCAGAAACAATACAAAATGAAATACACAATTCAATTCAATTCAATTGATACAAATTATATGATATGTAAATTGTAAATCTTTCAGCATTTTTCCATTTAATTTCTCAAGTAATTAATTAATTATTTAATTATTAATAGAATTGTATTTTGAAAATAAATAGATGAGAAATCCACATTTGATGCCGTCCGAAACTACTTGCTCAAGCTTAATTGAGTGTGTGTGTGAATACCAAATATATTGAGTCAATTATATTTTTAATATCATTTAGTAAATAAACTGTGTCTATATCACATTTAACAAGAGTTTCTCTAATTGAACAACACATTCAATTGATTTTATATAGAAATTCTGATTAATTTTAATTATTTCAAAGTTATTCTTTAATTATAACATATCAAAGTTCACAGCGCCGGGCACCACTGTAGCCCTCTAATTGTAAGTGTTTATCAAAAAAGCAATGTAATGTAATTAGATACTTATGGTTCTTAACAATAACATGTGCATATTATAAGACAATTTAATTATTGTTAATGTTGCAAGAAAATTTAATAAAATAAAATAAAATAATACTGAAAAGGGCGGTCCAATTAAACTGTGTGTAAACCGGTGCTTAGCAGTAATTTAAATACAATAAGTCATAAACAAAAATGATCGATGTAAAGAGATGTATTGCGACTCTAACAAACCTAAGGCCGAAGAAAGACTTCCCATGATAGTTTCGGTATATAGTCATAAGTTAGTAGCACGAATTGGCTCTAATCTTAACTGTTTTAATTAATAACTAAGAGCCTTTGGAGCCTAAGCAATAATAATATTCAAAAATAAAAAAGTTGCCACACATGAGCTTAATTTTGATCGGCCAGTTAGTTACCTATATGCTACAGTGGTCCGATATCGGAAATTTCAACAAATGATAATTTTTTTATGAACAGAACGAAGGTACGCAAAATTTTAGATCGGTATCTCAGATCAATATCCTGAAGGACAAATTCACTTATATAAATGCTAAAACGACTAAGCTTCCCACGCTGATCACTTTTGTATCTACATTTTATAATGTCCCCGACGTTTATTTCTGTCTGTTAAAAACTTCGTGGTAAACTTCAGCGTAACCGTGGATCATTGAAAATTTTTTGGTGTTCCTTAAACCTTTAGCCGATCTCCAGAAAGGCCTTAGAAAAAAGGTGTTTGGCAGTGATTTTTGACAAAAAGGCGGCTTTCCCAAAAGCCATTTTTACATTTCAGAGTGACATCAATTACTTTAAAAAATTCTATTACTTCCATAATTACTTGACAAATATGATATATCTAAGAAAGTCGTGTGAAAATTTAAAGTCGAGTGGACCAGCCGTTTCGAAGAAATTTTCCTCGACGACTCTGAACACAGCGTTTCGGGAAAAACGCGTTTAAAGTTTGATTCTCGAAACTACACTTAGTAAAAAAATTCTTAGAAAGAGAAATAGAGGATAAGACTGCAGAAAATGTCAGGGCATTAGGCTAACAATTGAGCATATCTTGTGCACTTGTCCCACATTGGCAAGTCTACGCTGAAGTATCGATAGTGAGACCCCGTGAGGTTCTGTTAAAATTCGCGTCAAGCGCAGGCATCCTTAACGGTAGCTATTCCTCTTGAATCTAGCAACTGAACTTCATCTGATATTACAAAAGACCAAAACTGGTCTAGGCGTGGCTTATTCGCCTACTTGATTTACCTAAGCTAACCTAATGAAAAGGGTAAAGGAGTGGTCGACAAATCTGATATGCTGCCCGGCTCACTAATGAAAACAAAAGATTATTAAAGTTCAGAAAGTTGGTAAATTAGACATCGCGCGAGAAAACAATGACAAACAAAATATACAATATATAGTATAGAAACCAGAATTACCTAGAATATAATCTAGCACTTCTCATTCTAAAATATTTTTCAATATAGTCGAGAGACTGAACAATCACATCTAATCAAATTTGGGTGAAATAATTAGTGGCGGAATTGTAAAAGATTCTAACGATATCAGTGGAAGGTGTCAGAACTTCAGAGATATAGCGGTAGCTAGCAGGCCTTTTCCATGAGTTGGTCTGGCTTTTAATGCACTGATCACAAGCAACCAATTACCAAGAGTCACTTTTTTGTCACACCGGCAATATTTGTAGAACAACACCCGGCCTAACATGCGCGAATTGGTGATCTTCAGTTGCAACGCATTGTCCACGCGTTCACTAACTGTCCGCCTAGCTATTAAAGCTGAATCGACTGACTGACTGGCTTCCTGGCGAGTTGAACGGTCGTAGGTATATTTGAACCCTAAAATGCTGCGCAGGCAATAAATTGGACGTATGTAATTTAATCACGCTCACAATTTTTTACGCCAACTTCCACATACCTTTGGACATGTTGGGAAGCATAACGACGATAAAAAATAATACTGCAAATATTATGAAAAATAATTAAATATGCTGGTGTTGGGGTGTTAAGATTAACGAATTTGCTTTTAAAGTGATATATTTTCATAACAAACGTAAGTACATATTAATTAATGAAGTCTTCGCTAAGGGCCAAGCCAATGTGTTTTAAGTACTTTTAAATAAAATGGGTGTAAGTGTGCGTGTACAGCAAAATAAATCCAATTAAAGCACGTGCGCCAGGCCTAACAATTATATTATTCAACTCTAAATAGATACAATTAAAAAAAAAAATATAGTTTAAAGTTTTAATGCTTATATATGTATATGTATGTATGTATGTGTGGCCGCAGAGTGAGTTAGGGTTTTTATTACCAAATGGCACTTTGGTGCGCCTTGAAGCAAGAAAATTTTAATGAACATGAATGCCTAATATCCGCCTTCATAAATAGTTAATGGATTAGAATAAATAAAAATATTTTATATGAATTTTAAGCACAGCGAAACCATTATGAGCATTTATTTTAGCCACAATTTTCACTTTTAACAATTGTAAACTACTTGTAGGCACTCGTAACTGGTGGTACTTGTAAGAAGCAGTTTTCGCTTTAAAGTCCAAAACTTTGCTAATAGAATCATAAATTTGAAGGGAAGTTCATTACAACGGCGGACAAACACATTCCTGGCGAAGATTTCGAAGCATAACAAACTAGAGCAGCTTCTTTAAGCTTTTCCAGAAGACCATTAGCAACCAAGATCCAGAGAAATGGCGAGAAAACACTTCTTTGTGGAATGCACCTGCTTACGGGAAAACCCTGTTCATTGCTCTCGCGATATCGAGCAAGGTCCCTACTGCAAACTTTTTGTTCCTTATGCTTCTCTCGAGCCAGGACACAATAGTGTGAAAAGCAATGTCTACTGACTTACTTACGCAATAGGTACGCATGCGCAAGAAAGTAGATCTCTTGGAATACTACTTCTTAAATGCAGATCAGTCAGTTTCTCTAACGTCTTCAGTAAGAACGACGAGAGAGTGTTGGCTCTAAAAACCTTGGCCGACACAAGCTATTCTTCCCGACATTCGGAATGAATGCAACCCTAACCTGTCCAAAGGTCCCAGGAATATACCTTAATCTAAAGCGATTCGCATAGATGGGTACCTAACAATAAATCGCACGAGAGTGTGACCGAATGGATGAATTGATGAAGTAATTGGAAAGGATCTTTCTACGGAAGCTTTACAAGCAGTGCTGAAGGCTTCGACGCACTTATCGAACGTGCCAGGAGACCACTAGCCCATTAAGAAGGGCAATAGCTGAAAAATCCAGAGCCGTTAGCGGTATTTTTCAGCCTGAAAGAGGGCAAACCAAAATACCAGGAGACCATAGTCAAAGGATCCTCGTCTTGGGAATATTCAGCCATAAATTTCACAGTCATAAATTGGAAAAAATAAAGGACTTTATCACTCTCGGAACTAGCAGAAATATTCAACTGTTTTTCAGGACTGAAGGCTTTACCGAAATATCTAAGTAAGTATTATCCAAAGGTTTATCAAGCGACATTTGTTCTTGAAAAGCTGCAAGAAAATCAGACGCTTTCGAGCCAAACTTTGTTCAGAAATAAAGCCGATTTTTGGCTCAATAAGTATGCAGAAAACCAAAATTTTCACATTTGTTACGAAGGAAAACTTAAAGGGATTCTAATTACCAATCGAAAGGGTCGAACGAGTCACCGAAAGTTTTATTAAACGAATGAACCATCTGAGACGCAGCCTCCAACATTTCAAAGAGATAATCTTCAAAAACTAAATGCCAAAGAACGTTCTTACGAATGAATAAACATTCCCCATTAAATTTGAAGGGAACCTCGAAATAGATCACCGTATTTATCGAACAGTGAATACAAGACTTCGAAGGTGGCACATAAAAGGCTAAAGACTAAGGCTTTACAATAAATCTAGAATAATACTATAGGAAAACCTGTACGAATATCAGGAAAATATTGCAAAGCCCTGCTGACTTAAGGCCGATAAGTAACGAACTTCTTACTGACCGCCATTACAAATATAAAACAAGACAGAAAATTATATTATGAAGCTTACAAGCAAAACAAATTTGTCGTCGCGGGATCAATATTATCTAAGTATTGAAAGGTATTTAAAGCGTACATGTAAGTATATGTATTATTGTACAAATGTACCAGTGAACTAAATTTAGCCCATCTAACATAACTTTTGACATGATACGTTTTATATTTCTGCCACTTTCGTGCAGTAAAGAGTATTGGACCTTGTATAGATGAGGTTTTAACACTTACGCTCGACTACATATATATAAACGCTATAAATATTTTCATTGAATTTTTCAAATATTTCTTAATCAACTTACCGCATAATTTTTCTTTTATTGTTGGGATGTATGCGATTTGCTGAGTCCGGATCGATCTTCCTTAAATGGTTATGCAACAACTCAGATGACATTGCTGACATTTCAGACTGCGGTAGAAATAAAGACTAAAAGTATAAGACATAAATAAGTAACGAGACCAAAAATAAAGTAAAATAGTAAAATGAAATGAAATATTTTAACGCACAGTGTTTAGAAAATGATTTTGAATCATTTGTTAGTATACAATTGTTTGCAATAATACTTACATTTTTCACATCCTCAGACCCAACATTAGGATCTTCCTTTGAAGTAGATACGCCGGACTGCTTGTCTATACTAGGCCGGTTGTCAATACCGTCCAGCTCGTTGGGATCCTGCGGACTAACGAGTATATCCCAAAGTAGCGATTCAATGTAGTAGTTAGTGCCGCCAACTACAATGGGACATTTGTTTTGAGCTAAAAGAGTTTCGATCTAAAGGTATTTAACAGTTAAGGATTATTTACGTTTTACTTTCGACTACAGAAAAAGCGTACTAGAGGTACAAACTGAGCAATATATCAAAAGCTCTAATTTTATTAAGTCGTTTTCTTAAAAATCAGTTACAACTCCTTTGAATAATCCATGTGAATAACATGAAAAATGGAACAAGGATGTAATCTAGAAGCCTCTTCAAAACAATCGACAGCATAACTGTTCAAAACATTAAAAAATTAAAGCAACCATCATACCATTAAATACTCTGAACGAGGAACTTTGCCTAATGTTCAGAGAGGATTTAGGGATCTTTACGTGAGAGTACGTATGTTAAGAACATTTCGTTTGAAAAGAAATTAAAAGAAACCATGGAGATTTAGGAAGTGACTTAAAATGATAATTTATCCGTTAGACAAGAGAAAATTTTATGAGAGTTTACCRTCTCAAAATTTCTGATTACGATGCAGTTCTATCCCAGAAATCTTGTTGTTGTTGTAGCCAGTCAGTTGCCGGATAAGCACCTAGGTTCGTTCCGGTTACGTAGACCCAACTGTCGTGGGAACAGTCCCAGTAACCCACGACCCGACGGAAAAATCGAAAATGGTCAAGGCATACTATAAGTTGTGAACTTTAAGACGAAACCCCGAAAGTCCAGCTAACAAACTCGTATAATCCGGTTCGAAATGAATGATCAAGAACAGTATAATTCTCTTGGTCTATTTATGGTTCTTCTTTTGTCCTCATCCTCGAATAGATTATAGATTTCACGATAAGTTTCTTAATGGTACGATCACTGCTGATAAGCTACCACTCATACACACAAATTAAGTTCGGGACCTGTAGGAAAGTAGTGCATAGAAGCATAGGGATTCGCTTTAATCACCAGGACAAGCTGTCTATATCCTAATCTAGTTAAGTATTTATTCGGTAGTCACTTACAACTTAATTTCATAGCCACTTCATCCTGCCGAAACTAGTATTTCGTAAACTACATGGTGAAAAACATCATAAATTTTTCGTTCGGTTTTCAAACAAAATTCTCTATAAATATTTTTTTTTTTTACTATTATTACTAAAATTGTGTTAAACTTTATATTGTTGTCGCCGAAACAAAATATTCAAAATTAACAGTAATTTTGAGAAGCTTATACTAAATTCTCTGCTCAAATTGTTAGCAGAATTCCGGAGGAGTACGTAACAAAATTGGGTTAGCGGCCGAGTTTGACGTAGCTGAAGAAAAACGGTGCCGTTATATCCGCCGCATATACAGATATCAATAGTCTAGCAACGGAGCAGTGAAGACGCTAAACGGCAGGATGGCCGGGCTTTCCATGGTATTCAATGGCCTTTTGGTAGGTGCCTCAGGATTTGCTTTGGCCTCAATACAGCCGGCCGAACATCCCTATGCTTTCTCCGCTTGCGCCTTTGGACTCTGCCATGGTCTGCTGGGCATCATACATGCTTACAATCAGGGCGACGAGAGTGATAGTTGCAATAAGATACGTCAGATATCTGACAGTGTTATGGAGATCGTGCATTTGCCACTTATAAATATTGAACTCTATTTGGCATCATCGGAAACTAGCGCTTTGGCATTGGGTCATGGACTCTTCGTTATACCGCTCGCTTTTGATTTAATTGCGAAACTCTTCACAGAGGAAGGCGACGATAGCAACACAAATACGCTGAAAGATCTGACGATTTTGGGCAATATCATGTCGCTGACATTCTTGGCTGTCAATGAGAGCAACTACGTTTATGTGAGCATGGCTCTTACGGCCTTCTTGACCAAATATGGTGCCATACTGTTGGACAGCTACTGGGAGGGCTCACTCGAGAACACTGTACTTACCGGTTATTCAGTGTTTACATTCCTTGCCAATTACGCAATCACCGGTAAGCCAGAGTGGATGAAGCAATGAGATGGATGGATCTGAAGACCGAATAAATGTTGTTGCGGAAAAATGCATGTAAACTGACCATTTCATGAGATAATTATTATTAATTTGCGGAAAATACATAAATTTGATTTCGAAATGGACATTATGCGTTTTATGAAGTGGTAAAGCAGTCTGGACGTTCATTTGTAAATACTATAAGTTTAGTGCTGCTTCGAAGCATTGCAGTATTTTTATAAGAATATTTTCGTAATTGTTATTAGAAAAAGCTATCGAGTACTTTAGTTGACCATAGTTAGAAGACGTCACTGTTTTGGGCATAAAAATTGTCTGGTTCGAAGATTTTATTGGATTTATAAAAATTTAGATGTGCTAATTTGCGTCGAATTAAAAGAAGCCTCTGAATTGTAGACATTTCTGCAGCCATTTGAGTTTTTCATTTCTTTTCACAAACCTGTACTTAAGAACTTTTTAAGGTATATTCTGGGATGAATTCTCAATCTTTTACAATGCTTTGCGCTTTGACTGACGATAGAAGACTTGACGAAGACTTTGACGAAGATATTTTATAATGAAGACAACAAGATAACGTGTGCTCAGGAATAAACCAAATTAAAGCATTGGCCTGGCTTGTGGATTATTGATGAGTTGATGCAGTAGAAACGCTAAGAAATCCCAATCAAATAGATCTTATCCTTTTTATCAGCAATTGAACTACCACGCTCAGCAATTCTATTCTTCCTTCGATAACCAGACCTTATAAAATGATTGAATTTTATTTACTTTTTGTAACAGATCGATTTTATCCTCAGTGGAACCAGCTCCACACATATGATATTTTGATTAGCGGTGAAGCTCATTTCTAAGGAGCGACGAACAATCTGAAGAGATGTTCAGAGCCGCCACTTCATCCAGAAAAAACAATGGTGTGGTGGGTCAGTGAAATCATCGGTCCATATTTCTTTAAAAATGATGGCGTTATCGCGCCACGATAATCGATTAGTTAATGCCTAATATAGAAGCTCGTGCTCTCGGTGACATTTGGCTTCAAATTGATCAAGTGGGCGCCGAGTCACAATAGATGCTAGGTAAAGTCTGTAGGGACAGACATGAACAATAAAAACGTCTATATCCTGAATATTGGAAGTGGAAAGTATAAGTAAACCATTAGGAAACGAGAGTGTCCGAAAATGTCTCTATCGAAGCAGCAACCGATTGAAGTCTCACAAACAAGTATAGTAAGAGGTTTATGTAAGAAGAAGGTCCACTCCATTCAATACTTCACAATATTAACTTCCAAGTTATGCATTTGTTTATAGGCATTGCTTTATCGGTCAAGAGTAAGTAAGTAATATTTTGCAATGTTTGTACCCAAGCAAATAAATACGAATTCGTTTTTCATATTTTCGATTTTGTTTTTTTTGCTTGCATGTTTTTCGGTTATTTGTGTAAGGATAGTGTTAAAATATGATTTTCACATTTTTTTGTGTTTCCTTTCGCGTCTGTTTGCAATGACGTTACTGCGGTAAGTTAAGCGTTTAAGCAGCAAAAAAAGCGAAAACCGACAGCCACAACAACAATGGCGGCTACAGAATGAAAACATTAATAAATGTTTACACTGTGGCTGCAACGTATACACATACAAACAAATGTGCACAAACAAATAATGCATGTGTTTGTGTGTATGTGTGATTGTAGTATAACACTTTTGTGTCGGTAGCATGACTAGCCGATCGGCGTATGTTCTATTCGCTCGCTCACAAGTATGTGCTTACAGCTGCGAGAGAAATAATGACACCATAAGCAGAGCGCTGTTATTAAAAGTGTTTTTTAACTTATCTTCCCAATCTTTCATCACAACATTGGAAATACATCATTAAACGATCATTTTCTGTAGGGCTATGAAGTAGAAGTTTGACAGGAACCTAACAGTTTGCGATCGTCAAAAGCGCTGTTGAGTTTCCTGTGTGCAGTACAAGCTTCTATAGAGAGCCGGTATTTTGAAGAGAGGCTTATAGGTTATATTACCAAATTATTACCATTTAGAAGAATATGTCTATAAGGTCACCACCACAGAGGATATTTTCAACATTTAATGATTTTTAGAATACAGTAGCAGCTTTTGAATACACTTATTTTACATAATTTCCTGCTTCTCCTTGGAGTTTGACCGAGATATGTATGTACAGGGTTTATCCGGAAAGTACTAGGACTGAGTAGATTTAAAAAATTTATTGAACCACTCTTTAAAACTTTCAATAAAATTCAACAAATAGGCTACTTCTACGTCGATGCTGCGCTGCCAGTGCGATCAAGCATGGAAGGCGTCACGGAAGGCATTCTCCGGAATAGCCTTCAGAGCCGAGGTGCATGCTGCTTGGATCCCCTTTCATCGGCCTTTTCAGGCAAGAAAAAACAAAAAAAAAAAGTTTGGGGGCAACATCTGGGCTGTAGGGTGGCTGCGAGAATATTGGGCCGCGGGCTTTGGTTATGTAGCTGCTCACAAGAAAGGCGGGGAGAGCCGGTTCGTTGTCGTGGTGCAACTTCTAATCGGCTGCGATATCTTGTCGGACCACTTCTTGTTAAAGCAACATCATTGATCATATCACACGACTCTGTCGCAGATTTATCGAATTTCATACAGAATTTAGTCACGTTCCTCTGCTCTAACGAACGCTGCATTTTCGGCTGGCACCACTCACAGAAACACGTCGCGCGAAAATATTTGTCTAGACTCTCGAAGTGCTCGGAGACAACTGACCAGTCGCTCGTTCGTTAGCTGGGAACGCCCTCTACCGAATCCAGTCAATGCGCGCACCTGTTACTTTCCGAACAAACCCTTTCTTTTCATAGTTATGATCTCAAAACAAAAACAACTGAATACTGCAGTTGTTATGCTCACGATTGTTTATGCCTATATGTGGTATACACGTGTGTGCGTTTGTTGCAAGCGAATTCGCTGATGCGTCTGTGCGGCTGTTGGCTTATCTCTTCCGCCCTCCGTCCGTCCGTCTGTCCGCATGTTTGAACTCTGAGTGCGCATGCAATGCGGTTTGTTTATTCAAAAGCGAATTGCTTAAGTGGAACCACGGCCAAAAA